GTAGCCAGCCCCTAAGAAGGCGTGGCTACAGCTTCCCCTACCAAGGATAGAAAAGAAGAGGAAAGGAAGAGATACCTTAATAGAGGGAACCATTATGGGCTTAATGAGAAACTTGGCAGTAGGGAAATTTCCAGGAATCCACAAGGATGTTTCCCAAATAAGAGTCTAAGCAATAGTGGAAAGAATACCTTAAATGCCCTTCCCCTATGATGACATTGATGACTACCTTAAATGCCATCATAGAGACTCCATCCCGTAGCTGTTGGAAGCAGAAGTAGAGATTCTAAGAAGTCTAAGCAACGAATTGAAATCCTGGAATGCAGGTGCAGCCAGAGAGGAATGGTGGGTGTGCAAGGAATCAGACCACCATGTTGGGGAAACACACAGCAGCAGCTGACCTGAGCAAGTGGGAGCTTTTGGACTCCAGACTGATAGCTGTTGAATCTGCATAAATATGAACCAAGCCCACTGATCTTGGGTCGAATTTGGGGGGCTTTGGCAATCTAAAGGTCCACCAGTAGTAGAACTAGTATTTTCCCTATTCCCTATTTCATGAATGGGCTTTTAGAGTCCATTTCTTATGGAGGGATACTTTCTTAGCCTAGATACAGGGAGGAGGGCCTAGTTTCTATCCCAAATTATGTGACTGTCATTGTTGATCCTCCATGGGAGGCCTCACCCTAGAACAGGAGGGAGAGTCAACTGGGATTGGTATGTAAGATATGATTGTTTTAATTTAAATTAAAGTTAATGTAAAAAGTGGTGTGCAGATCTAAAGAGAGAATTCTCCACAGAGGAACTAAAATGACTGAGAAACATGTAAAATGGTGCTGAGCATCCTTAGCAATCAGGGAAATGCAATCTAAAAGGACACTAATATTCCATTTTACAGTTGTCAGAATGCCTTAGATCAATAACACCAGTGCCAGCCAGGCGTTGGTGGCACACGCCTTTAATCCCAGCACTCAGGAGGTGGAGGCAGGTGGATCTCTGTGAGTTCGAGACCAGCCAGGTTTATAAGAGCTAGTTCCAGGACAGCCTCAAAATGCACAGAGGAAATCCTGTATCAAAAAAAAAAACCCAAAATAACACCAGTGCCAGAGAATGCTAGTGAGGATGTAGAGTAGGGGACCAATGCTCCACTACCAGTGGGAGTGTGAAAATATACAGCCACTTTGGAAATCAATAGGACAGTTTTTCAGGAAAATGATTGGTGCTGACATATTTTGACCTGTTGATATCTCTGGGCCCTGTAGCTGCCAGAGACCATGTTGATATCCGTGACTTGTGCTTCCTCCAGAGGCTATGTGGTTGTCTGTTGTTTGTGCTGACACAGAGGTCCCTGATGTGGTGAATGAGCTAACTGTGGCTAAGTTGCACCTCGATGTCCATGGTCCACGTTATCACCAAAGTCCATGTGTATTTTCATTGTCGGTGTGGGCACTGAAATTCATGCTTATGTCTTTGGTCCATCCTATAGCCCAAAGCCATGAAGAACTCTATGGTTAGTGCTGATGCCAAACATGAAGGTCAAGGAAGTTTCTTTGGTTGTAGTATTGATGACTGCAGACTCAGTGTTGGGAAAGGAAGGCATAGAAAACTTCTGGGACAACCACTCTCCCTCATTACCACATAACCTACCCTCAAAAGAAAAATAGTAAACAGAGGAAGACAGTGAAGGTAACTGCTTAAAAATTGTGGAGAGACTGCTGAAATGGAACAATTCAGAGTGGATGGCTTCTGGTATGATTGTAGAGGGGACAGACTCAGTCATCTTATTGGGTGGAACACTGGAAGTTTGACAATTCTGCCGTGATTGTATAGGCAACACAAATTGGACTTGTCATTGTTTTGTTTTCTGATTCTCCTGTGAAAGGTAACAATTGTCATGGGAGTACCTGGGAGGACTAGAAAGTGAATGTGTTTGGGATGCATTATGTGACATTTCCAAATGATGAGCAAAATCTTTACATTAAAGAAAAAGTCTACCAAACCACTATAATTTTATCAAAAAGCCACTTTATTTAAATCAAAAGGATAAAGGACTCATTAATTAAGAAAAGTAGTTCATAGACAAACAGGCTCATAGTACACATATAGAATAATGTAACTCTGGAGGCAGAAGTATGACGTGAACACAGAACCCACCTGGGCCACATATATAAACACTAGGTTAATATAAGAATATATTTATATAATTATTACATATATCACAAAACCTGTGTCAATTAATTTGGAAAACAAAACTCCCTAAGGAATTTCTAATTGCTGTCCAAATTCCAGTCACCACACAGAATCCTAGCATTGAAGGGACAAAGGCAATCAAGTTTACAGAAAATTTTGGACAATTCAGGTACCATAGTCTCAGAATCACTGTCAAAAATGCCATCTGCTTAGGGTGGGCTGGTGGCTAGTGATCTGTAACCCCTACACTCTAGCTTGGGGAGTGAGGAGTGACAGGAAACTTGGGACAGCCTTTCTCATACAAAAGACTAAAGAAATACAGGCTCTGCCTGGGCATATTAACTTGGCATTAGAACTAGCTCTGTTGATCAGTGTGGTGCTGAAATATGCAAACCCATACAAGGATAGGACTTGTGGTCCTATGTTGTAATTGAATTTGAACCTGTCATCCATTGCATCAAAAAAGTCCTCAAGGATTTGTTGCTAACACTCCTCAAGAGATGGACTTGAGGCCTTATCATGCTCTGGATCTTGCTCTCTAGGTGCCACGAGAAGTGGTAAGGTAAGCTTCAGGTAAGGCTGCATCTCTGGTTAGTCCTGGGTCACTTGGTGCTTTGTTTCCTTTGGGCAGATAAGGGTGGGAAGCTGATTCTGGGGATTCAAAATGAAGCATGTTCACTTTGGGAGTATACCTGGCACCCTCCTAGGCCTGATCACCATGGGGAGAAGCTTCTAAGCAGGGCTTAAGATTGGGAATGGAGCCCACACTGGATGTACCTGGAGACATGGATTCCCCATTGGTAGAAGCAAGGACAGTTAAATGACCATGGGAACTGGTGGAACCAGAATCAGCTGTAGAGTGTCCACTTGCCTCTGTCACTCCTTGTTGCACATTGTGGGGATACTTCTTCTTGTTCTTCACACGATGGTTCTTGAACCAGACCTGGGAAAACAAAGGAAACTTCAAAGGAGCACCTGGAAGTCAAAGACTGCATGGGAAAATTGGCTTTAACAAAACCTGATATACACAGAAGGAAGTGTGAGCATCTAGAAGCAAAAACGACTTGGGATGGCTGTGACCTAATACCATGGAAGATTTAGGTTCACATATTACTATTTGATATTTAGGTCCTGGAGAACCCGGGGGCTGATGTCTCCATGTTTGTGCCTTGGTTGAGGAAGGAAGCCAGGTTCAGTCCTGGATACATATATGCCCAGCTTCCAAAGGTGTTCCAAGCTGCACCCAAAATGTAGAATCTCACTATGTGTTGCATCGGTGCCTGATGGGAGAGTGACATTTACAGCTCAGGGAGAGAGGGACGAGCGGGAATCATACCTGGATCTGTCGCTCTCTCACACCAACCATTTGTGCCAGTTTCATACATTCATCTCGGCTTGGGCACATGCACTTATCAAAATATTTTTTTGCAGTAGGAGATTTTGTTGCTTGGAATATGAAATGCATATTTTTTCTGGCTCTCTGGAGGATTGGGGAAAACTTTCTGGTCTTCATATGTGTCTGTGCTCTCCATAGATTCTGGGGAATCCCTGACACTACTACTCCATGAGGATTATGAAGATAACAGGGAACTTGGATTCCCTGGATGGGAGACCTGGGTACGTTAGGGGACTGAGGAACTTACAGGGATTTGTTTGCGTTGATGGTCCTGGGGACACTTGGGGACCTAGGTACCTCTCAGGGTCTGGGTATCATGGAAGAGTTGATTGTGTTGAGGATGCTTCAGCAACTATGGTACTTTGAGACATTTGGAGATTTTGATGAATTGCAGGGATTTGATGCCTTTGGACACTTGATTGCATTGGGGTTCCTGAAGAAACCAAGGAACTTTGTAATAT